TTGGACAGCCCTTTGCAGGCCATGCCAGCCAATAATCTTTGTCTGGATTGGAACTGTACTGGGAGTGTAAACCCTAGTGCGCTCCCTGCCAACTGACGATAATCATTGGCTGGCAAGGACTGCATGAGGACTCAAACCTTGGTGGAGTCCTAATTCTGCTAACAAGCAACTGATTACCAGCTGGCTCCAGGGACCCACCAGACCTAGGTCAAGGCAGGCGTGGTTCTGATCCAGCCAACAATAAGCTGATTGTCATTGGGTTCCAGGGACTGCACAGGGATTTGAACCAGCTCCGGTTGGTCTCTGGAGCCAGCTAACAATCAGTTGATTGTCGACATCCAACTTTAAACACGCCAGTGCAGGGAGAGCCAGGGATCACGGTCCCAGGCTTCCACTCCACTGGCAAGTAAGATACAGTTGGGATCTGAACCCAAAATTGTGTGACCTTCCATACACGTATGGCATGGCAGGAGGCGAGTTTGTTTGGATCGGGGGTCAGATCCCATTGTGGCATTAGACAAATTTCCTCAAGCCCTGTTATGCCAGCCCCCCTCCCCCTGCCCTGCCCATCCCTCTGATTTATTTTGCTCTGGTAATCCTGGAGTTGATACAATTTTACGTGGTTTGCAACCAAGCTGAATGTGACAGCATATGTAGAAGGAGCAATTCCAGTTGCACTGTTCATCACATGGATGGTGCTTTCTTCACTCCCCACTACAAAAGAGCAAGCCCCCTAATTTAAAGAAGTATGGGAAGAATTGGAAAAACTGAAGTCCTTCACAAGGTGTAGGATTATAAAACTAGGCTATAAAACATGACAAACCTGAAGGAGAACAGGGTTTTCATGAGGTATAAGCCCAGGCAAAATTTGTCCTGCATAGTAATATAGTCTGTTTTCCATGGCTGATATATTTAGGACTTTTATGTGATTTCCCCCACACCAGTAATAGTATGGAAATCTGAAGTGACTCCTTGGTATAGGACAGTTGTACAATTACATCCTCACTTGTCATCCTTCATTTTAATCAGCATCATTTCCACTTAGTCTTGAAAGGGCAGGCTTAATGCAAATGAAAAGTCAGTATATATTAGCTTCTCCTTTACCCGCTAGCTTTGACTCTTCTGCTGCATATAACACCCACATTCCTTGGCAAGTTAATCATATCACCTGCCAACAGTATGAGCCCTTGTGTTAGCTTAGCATCATCCTATAAAATATGTTTACATTTCCGGTCCTGTGCACTGTAAACTGTGATAAAGTTTGGCAAAATGGGTTGAATTCAATCTAGATCTTGCAGCTCTGGTGGGATTAAAAAGAAACATATCTTATGCATTTGAAAAAAGGACAGTTTGGACATATGAATAAAATAATGGTCAGTGAGCTTGAATATGGGCTACGAGATTTTTTTTTACACCAACATATATTCAACCTGGAAAAAAAGTTTATTTTTTCTTATACTTTTATAAAAAATAATAATAAAAAGAAAAGTTAATAACTTACCCTTTTTAAATGTACTCTTGTAGATTCAATGTAGAACACTTGATCCAAAAATTAATAGAAAAATAAAACAAATACCCTTTGGGTCAAACCCTCAGCTGATGTAAACTGGTGTGGCTTCTTTGACTTGAATGGAGCTACATTGATTTATCCCAGTTGAGAATCTAGGCTTCTGCTTTGAAACCATCATTGTGTCAGATCATAATGTAAGTAGTTCTGGGTATTACTGGATACAAATAGATACCTTCACAACCACATGTTTAACCATCCAAGCAGAACTGCTGTTTCAGAAACTAAAACAAATCACAAAGGACTTAATTTAAGGCCAAAAGAAAGCTCTTCTGTGAATAACAAAAAATCCTGCCGAAGGTGACACAGACTAACAATGTGAAAAAAGTTAACCATGAGGCTAGTAGTGTTGACAGAGTGGGGTTTGCTGATTTTAGTATTTCTTATAACTAGGGGTCTACTTAACTCAAGGAAATGGCCAGCCAGTTTTGCAATGAGATCTCTGGGCTGGCCAGCAGCATATTCACAGGCTAATCATGGTGGGGCCGCCCCATGCCTCTTATTGGCCAAGGGGCCCCTGTGGCCCCACCCCTTGCTGCTGATCGGCTGCAAGAGCTGTCATATATAGCCCCACCCCTCACCACTGATTGGTTGTGAGGGCTATTGGTCGAGTGGGGTGAGGCCACATGACAGACAGCCGTATCAAACAATCAACAATGAAGGGTGGAGCAGCAGCCATGTTGGGCTGCTTTTAATGGAGGCAGCTCCCCCTCCTTACTTTCTCCCCAGCAAGCTGCACAGCCAGGCTGCAGTGCCGTGAGAACTGCTGGCTCTCCAGTAGTCAGTGCATTTATTTTTAGTTTATTTTCAGTAAGTTTTCTTTTCTTTTCTGCAGATTTCATGACCATTATCCACTTTTGCAAGCAATGCTAGATTTCACAAAATTCACAACATTGCAATTTTGGTATATCCCTACGTATACCCCTTTTGCAATGGTATAAATTAAGTATATTGCATTAGCCTTACTGCTGAACTCATAACTCTCCATAGACATTATATTGTAGTAGTAGAACATGTATACTACTACAATACAGTAGTATAGTGTTTGTGTGTATATAACTTATTGTAGGGTACACAAAAATATATGGAGAATTATGAGTTCAGCAGTAAGGTATGTATATATGACATATGAACAGCTAAGGCATGGATATGTACTATATTTTCTCACATGTAACACAGCCCTGAATATAACATTCACCATGATTTTTAAACGGTACCGTGAAGAAAAACGATCTTATCTGAGAAGCGGTAGCTAGGGAGCTGGACCTGCTCCTTAGCATGGTGCCAGCCCCAAGTGGTGGATAGAGTCCATGAACCAATACAGCATACTGGGTCTGGGGCCACTGAAATGGGCCCCATCTGGCATGGTGGGTCTGACCTCATATGGTGGGTCTGGGGCTGCACAACCCAAGAGCACACTGGGAGCATATGCTGGCTCTGAAACCATGTGTTTTATCTGACTTGGGATGTGGCCCTGGAGCCAGCACATGATCCAGACTCTGCATGCAAGATCCAACCAGGCACCCAGTCCCAGAGCCAGCACATGGTCCAGTACTTGGTGTGCCAGATCAAACCCAGTACATGTCTGAAGAGCCAGTGTACAGTTCCTGACTTGGGATGCCAGATCCAGCCCAACACATGGCTCTAGAGCCGGTGCACAAGGTCAGACACAGCACACTAGGTCCAGAACCGTGTGCCATATCCAAATGTACATGCTGGATCTAGCTGTGAACCGACTCCATGCACCATCTCAATCTGGTGCACAAACTGGGAGGAAGACTCCCCATGGCTCCAGAAATACTGGGGGCAGACTTTGGGAAGAGAGGGAAGGGAAATTTTGAGGCCATGGGGAAAAAAACAGAAATTTTGGGAAAAATTGAGATATATAGAATACTTCTTTTCTTAGCACCCTTTACAGATTTTAGTTCACTTTGCTACTTTAAGAACATACAATGTATTATGTATAACTTGGTTTGCTCATAAAATTATCATGTTTGGTATATTTTTTAAATTTAAAAGTATAGTTTATTCAGACAATAATTACAAATTTATTAAATTTACTTTAAAATGCTTTTAATTTTTGTTACAAACGGAGCTACAAGATGCTGAACTCTAAGAAACCTAGCATCTCTTAGTTTTTGCCAGTTTACGAGAAGCAGGCAAAAATTAAAGCTGAAAAATAGAAGAAACCATCAACATTATAGTAAAACAAAAAAAGTTATTATGTATTCAGGACTTAGTCTCTTCCACAGTGTCAAGCAGATATAGAAAGCACTCGTTTTTAGAAAAAGAACTGAGGAAAAAAAGGAACCCCCCCCCAAGACTCATTGAATACAAATTTTGCTACATGAAACTTTGTCTTAGTAAGTCTCCTTTTCTGAGCTATCACTCTCAACAGTTTCTGCTTCTTCTGCTTCTTCTGATTCTTCATTTTTATCATCTTCATGGACTACTGAAAACTGAAGTTTTGCCCGGATTGAGACAAGCTTCTCTGTTCTTTCATATGTTAATTTATTTCTTGATTTGGTGTATTTCCAAACATAGACCAGTTTCTTTCATATGCTGCAGAAGATGAAGGAATCTGAAGCAGGCGAGATGCTTTGTTGTGCAAAGGCCTTGCCACCATGTTGCAGGAGGGATATGCTTGGCAGAGCATTCCTGGATCAAATACCTGAAGATGTTCTGTATTCTGCAACATTTGATGTTACTTGCATTGTCAGTCAGCAAAACAAATACTTTATCACTCTCAAGTAGGACTTCACATATTTTACTACTGATATACTCTCCAGTATGCCTGTTCTCTCCTGTGTCAATGCTTCTGTAAAAAACTGGTTGCGGTGTTGTTATCACAAAGTTTATGATTTGTCCATCCATCTGTAAGTACTGCAAGACAGTGCTTCATTGATTTTTCCTTGCACAGTTTGCATTACATGTTCATATTCTGACAAAAGGAGGCTTGGTCAAAGAATGTCTGCTGGGCAAATGGTCTGATGGTCTTAGTAATTTAAAAGCTTCCTGCCAGTATGCATTTTCAGTTATTGACAATGGCATCTTGTGTTGCTCTTGCAAGAGCTTGGTTAATTTTTTCCTGATCCTCAGGTGTCATCTTGTCTACAAATGAAGCTAATGAGAGTCTTTTCTATACAGTTGGTTGCAATATTTGGTTACTTAAGGATGTTGATTGGGCAACCCTTTGTGATGCTGATGTTGTAGAGGAAGAAGCAGCGGCAGTAAGAGGACTTTTGGATTGAGAATGCTGGAAAAAGCTAGTTGCACTTTCATCATCATGATATACCTCCTCCTCACTTACACCCAGGAAGGATTTTTTAATGTCTGCAGGACACTTCTTATACACAAGGATGTGTTTGGTCATCCTAGTAGCATTTGGAAATGCATATTTCATTTGACAGCGTTTGCAAATCACTTTTTTTTTCTCAGAATAACTTGCAGTGTGAAAATGCTTCCATATGCTAGAAGCTGGTCGCACCATTTTGCTAAGGGAGAAAAAAGAAGAATGTAATTTAGTGGCTAGCTTGCATATATAAACACTAAACTACAGCATGTACAAATTTAGTAATGAATAGAGGAGAGGACTCCTCAGAGTTCACTATGAACAAGTTCCCTGTCCTGCAGGTCTCACCTCACTGCTATGGTTGGGTGATTTGTCACAAAACATCAGATTAGTAGGAACTCAATTATGAATTACATAGGTTATGAAAATATACTAATGCAGCTAAAATATAGTTTAATATACTGAATTCGGAGAAATTAAAACTCTTACCTTTCAATAAAGAAGTATACTTTCTTTCAGCTCCTTTGTGCTGATTCTGTACTGCTGTGGATCCCAAGGTCACAGGGCCAGGAGGAGGCAGGTTTCTTCCAACTCCAAAACCTTTAGATTTGTTCTACCTCCTCTCCTGAGGCTTCTGAGTAAGCAGGGTATGGGGGTTCTGCTTATGTCACCTTGCTAGCCCTTTTCTGTGATTGCCAATATATGAGTCTTTGCAGTATATTCCGACTCTTAGCTGCCATGTCTTGATTATTTCTTGATGTTGTTAGTCAGGAGGTGTTACTTATTTTCTACTGCAGTCATACAATGGCAATCTAAGTATGGGCTTACTAGGTTACAAGGTCTATCAAACCCGTTCTAGACAACACCCGAAATTAACGTCTGTGATTAAATCAGTTTGCTTTGGGTTAATTACTTTTCTTTATTTTCCTTTTACATTTATAAACAACACCCAGTTAGACAGACTGTGTTAATTATAAGCTTTCCAGGTATATCTTAATTTTTGTCTTTGCAAATCTTCAGTTGGCTTACTCCATTCATACATCAAACACAATACAAATGAACTGAAACGTAACAGTTCAAAATAAACAAGAAAAAATCTTTCCTTTTCCTTTTTTTCTTTTCTGCAGTATACTCAGCCTCTAGGGGAGATCTTATCTCACCAGATCTCTCTGGATATTTATTTTCCTTTACTGTGATAAAAGTAATGACCACTCTGGCTTCTACAGACTCTGATTGACTTCAACAAATGTCTGAACACAACAAGAAACAATATACACTCTTTAGTGCATACCCTCAAAGGTGGTTACTCTCTTTTATCTGCTTCAGTCACCATTCCCACACTGCTCAAAGCCTCTTTCTGGAGATGAATGTTCTTCTCTGTTGCCTCCCAGCTTGATAAGCCTTGATCCCAGTTACTTTTTGCAGGTAGGACTCATCTTCAGGGGTCCTTTTTACCCCTACAGGCTTCTACTTCTGTTTTTCTCTCCGTATCCTTGCTCCACCCTCCTGGCTGCTCTATCTTAGAGACAGCTGCTCTGGAAACAGAGTTCTCCTTGTTTCACCACTTCTGTCTCTCTTTCGTTCCTGGTCTCTCCTGTATCAGTCCATGTCTCTCCACACAGGGCAATAAGCTCCTTGTTTCTAATCTCTACAGGAAAGAATGGATGCTGCTGCTAGTGTCCAATCCCAGTCCTTTGAGGCCTAGTCAGGAGGACAGGAGCAGATCTGCCAACCTCTAGATCAAAAGTCAACAATAGAGGAAGTCCACAAGCAAAGATGACACTGAATCCTTCTCCTTCTCTTGTGAAAATGGAAGTGCCCCATGGGGGCAGAAATGCATCTTGTTCTTGCATTTGAGAGTTCTACTGTACTTGCTTGTCTTTGGTGTACAGGAATTGTAATGATCTGATACTGTACATAGTCTTACATAAAAGTCTTCCTATTACATAGTTATTCAAAAACATTTTGGGGGAGTAAAGGGTAGCAATCTGTAAACACCTTGTCTTAAACATTTTATTCCTCATCCTAAAAGACAATATTTCATAAGAGGTTTTTTAAATTTTTCAAAAAAATTTAAATTTTTCGGGAAAAAAACAAAAAAATCTTCTTGGGAAAAAATGTTTTTTTCCCCAAATTTTTCTGGGTTTTCACATCTCTACTTCTGACTCACTTTGAGACCTAAGGTAAGTTATTTAATCTTTGTATCAGTTTCCCCTTCTATAATATTGGGTGATAACTGCTGTTTATCCTAGTTAGGATATATGTAAAATGCTCTGAGATCCATGGGAAAATGCATTACAAATGTACAATTTTTTAAGAATAGACACACTTTTCTGACTACATTCTTGCCCTTAACAGACAGTTCGTTTCTGAAGGTTCAGCTTATTCCCCACTTTCAGGACCTGACTAGGAACAGGTGTACCAGAAGGTTTAGAGAATGTCTATCCTGACTGTAAGCAAGAAATGTTTATAATCGTGCAATATAGACCATATTTATGAACAGTCCACTGAAATTGTCTAGACTAATGTCTAGAAGAAAGAAAACTATGTTTGGAGAAAACAACATATGTCTTTTAAGGAAAATAATGTAAAAGCATTAAATGAATACTATTAATATATGAATATGAAGCATTAAATGAATACTACTAATGGTAAATTTCCCACTTTCCTCTCCTGTAAGATTGTGTCCTAACTTAGGGCACAGCCTAGATGTTATTTAAATATAGCTTGAGGTTGGGTGGTGGTGAATTATTTTGTCTAAATAAAACCTGTCTAACAGCCGAACATGTACCCTGAGAAGATTTACTACACCTGGGGGCTGATTAGGGCAACAAAACCTTGTAATGAAAATAGAAAAGAAAAAATATGACAAGCAAATAACACTGAACAGAGAACAATACATATAGCTGTTAGGTTAGAGGTCATTTTAGACCCAAAAAGGAATTTACCCCCAGAACTTTGCTCAAATATTCAAACCCTGGATCCTCATGCTAATTTTCCAGATAGTTCCTATTTCTATAAACAAAATGAGAATGTTTTATGTTGCTTTTCATATGTTCAAAATTTAAAACTAGTTTCAATTTTTTATTGCTTGGTTATAATTCTAATAGAACTGTGGATATATGAGTTGCAATATTTCTCTGTTCAAGACTTATTATTGTTTTCTACCCTGTAGGTACTTGGGTAAAATATTTTTAATTAAATATCTATACTTTTTTCTCTCTTTCTTCCTCCATTGTGCCTCAGTGCTTCTAAACAGATAATGTTGCAGTTCTTGTGGCACCAGCCCTATATGTGGCCCCACTCTGCAGGGACATTCAGTTTCTGAATGTTGCTCTTGTGGTGAAGAACAGAAATTTGCAGATGTTCAAGCTTTTTTCTTCCACAGCAAAGATGGCAGTTTCTGGCTACAAAAATGTAGAAATTACTCCTGGGAGAGTTTCTCCTGAGAGATTACATCTGCACACTTTCCATTGGCTTAACTCCTTCTAGGAATCAGGAAGAGTGGAGCCAGGGAAGACTCCCGTGCCATCCAGAGACCAGGGTCACTCTGGTCTGGAGAAGGACTGCTCCCTCATGTTGATTGGGAGGAGAGAAGAGAGGAACAGCTCCCAACTCTGGGAGTTCCCAGAGTAAGATGCAGGCAGGGAGTTTTACTGCACTGTTCTGCCTACTCTACTGCTGGGCACCAGGAGTCAAGCCCAAGGAGCAGTGCAGCCATATGCCTGCTTCTCATAAAGTTCACAAGGGAGTCTTTTCATCAGTCTGGGTTGCAGGATTTGCCTATAAAAGAATATGCTGGATATGGATTTGAATGGAGTTAATTTAGCTGCTCTTGACTTTGCATAATCATTCATTTGGGATATGTATAACTTCTTGGGGATGGAGCTTGCTATATGTTTATACACTGCCAAGCAGAATAGGGATTGGTTCTGATGGGGTTTGGGGTGTGACCATAACTCAGTGGCTAGATTAATTTACACAACAGAGTTCTTGTGAGATTTGATGATAGATACTTTCTTTGGTTTTACCTATCTAGTGAAGAATACTATGTTATTTCACAAACTAAGGCACTGGGAAAAAAAATGGATGCTTGGGGGAAGGGGAAGGGCTAGACAAAGGGAAGCTTCTGCCTCTGTGGGTACATCTACACAAGACGCTAAGAGCACAGCAGCCTGATAGTACTGTAGCACATCACAGCACAAACAGTACTAATACACTACTGAGCAGTAGAATCACTTAACAGACATTCACTGGCACTATTGTGCACTAAATCTGGTTACTGCACATTTATTTAGTACTTGATTATACAACTACTAAATTTAAATGCGCAGTAACCAATGCACATTAATGAACATGTAGATACACCCAGTTTGAGCAAATCCTTAAAACAGAACACAACAGCATCTTCCCTGACAGGCCAGCAGCATTTGTACTAAGGCACACAACTTCTGGCCTGTTCCTTTCCCTCTGGTCCCACATGTCCCTCAAAGACTTCCCTCTCATGGCTGCCCAAGAAGCCCACTTTAAAGGAGCATTGGAGAAGGGCCTGAGTAACATCTCACTTGTAGCATGGTGTTGTGTTTAGTGTGCTAGGAAATCAGAGAGACCCCTTTTTCAAAGCCTGCCTCAATGAGAAGAGCCTAGAACCTAGGTTCTCTGGCTTCTCAGGGGAGCATCCTAGTCACTCAGCTCTTAGGGGTGGGAGGGGATGTATGCTTCCCTCATCCTCATTCCTGAGTCTAAGGCCTGTAGTTATAGGTTTTGGTTGACCCCAGTTTTGCATATCTAAGACAACTGTGCATTCACAAGGGGAGTGCACGTGTTCTCTGGCTTCTACTGTCCATGCTCAGTCTGCATGTGTACTGTCATCCACATGTGCACGGTTACAGGTCCAAGAATAGAATTCCTTTAGGCTTGTAAGTGCCAAGAAAGCTACGTAGGCAACTTAAAAAATGGCCATTTAGATAATCAGGAAGGGAATAGAATGCCATGCTTGGATGCCTAAAGGTTAAGTGCCACGTAGGTGCCTAATGAATGGAATAGGAGCTGGCTGTTAGTGCTATGTACATTTCTAGTTGTAGAGATATGGTTCTTTAGGAAAAAGCAAGTATGGGAGATTTCATGAAGAGGTACATCATAGCTCGAACAATGATTACAGATTTCCTGATAGAAACCCTGGCTATGCACAACTATATGTAGGACTTTTAAAGCAACACAAGCACCTCAGGGCTTCCACTTGAAAATGTCACTATTGGTACTTTTTTTTCTTTGTCAGTATTCATCTGTTTTAACACCCAAGACAGTGTAATATAAGTGACACAAAATCATGACCAACTCCTATGCCCACCTAAACCCCCATAATTGCTGTCACATACCAGCCCATAGATGGCTTTGTTGAATGGAATTAAAATCATGTGTACACTTAAGATGGGAAAGACCTATAGCATTTCACTTCCCCCTCCTCCCCAGTCCCTTTGCCAAGAAAGTATTATTTCCACTAACAGTATACAGCTTGTTCTGATGTTCATCATGTGTAGTCTGGTTTCCATACTTTCCATTGGGAGTCTATCCTGCAGTGTAAAAGATCTAACTGCTAGTCTGA